ATTCAGGTACTACAGGAATGCCTAAATAAAATAAAATAAATAAATGAAAAAACAAAACATTTATACCAAAAAAAAAAACAGTCGAAACTGAAAGTTAAAATATTAAACTGAAGAACAATATTAAAAAAAAAAGTATGATCTTTACTTTTGATGTCTTGTGGTGAGAAGAAGTCCAACAAATGAGAAAATTAGTTGTTGGTTTTTTAAAACTTTTTCAGACTAATTTATTATCGCACATTTTGATTTCATTAATTTACATTTCATGTAATTTAGTTTGTAATTTTATTTCAGTAAATATACTATGAATGAATTTCATTACCATTAATATTAATTCCACAATGGTTTATGCCTATTCTTTAATGCCATTTAAATTTGGACAAAACTAATGTAATATACCATATATAACTGAATAACTGATTATTTACTCTAACTTAAAGATCGTAGAAAAACCTGATTTACCGTGTGGAGAGCGTTGCCGGTTTCACCTTTCCAGAAGTGGATTGGCTGTCGAGACCGAACGCCTTAGCTCTCGACTGGATCGTTGCCAGCAGTTCCGTCTCTATTGGCTGTCAATACCTTCTACATCAAGAACCCTACTAAAGACATTGTATATTCAAGAAGATTAAAACTTACTTAAAACAGAAAATATTTGAGGTTATTAGTTTTTTCTTACGATACAAGCTCATCATAAAGTTCAAGTATTCATCATAAAGAGAGAGATTTTTCGAAAAAAAAATACCTCTTTTCATAATTTCTATATGTTTTGAATACTTTTGTACTAATGAATCGAGAGGAATAGAGCGTGTTTTCATTAGTAAAAATAGTTTCGTATCACATATTTTATTTTAAAATCGTAAACCTTCATTAGTTTTCGGATGACATAAAATATAAGATAAGATATGTTTTTGTTTTACAATAGTAATAAAATAAAAAAAAAGTTCCACAATTGACTTAGTCAAAGTCCTAAAAAAAAAAAAAAAAAAAGGAGCAACAAAATCGGTTCAGTAGTTCTCGAGAAAATCTTGGCACAGATAGACAGACAGACAGACCAATGGCTAAAAATGTGTTTTTCGGACTCAGGGGACTCTGAAACGTATAGATCCGTCGAAAACCGCATATCGGAAATTTGACCCGATTGCAATACTTTCCTTACCTAGTATAGGTAGGAAAGTAAAAAAAAATATCAGATTATGTCCTGTCATTTATTATATATACTGATTTATAATGCACCTATCGTTCTAGAAAACGACAAGACCTTTTTCAGTAGTCCTAGGGTTCAATCATACCAAAGACATCAAGTGAAATCTAAAATTCGTTCAGCTGTCATTAAAATTTAGTCGGACTAGCTATCCTTACTCTACTGACGTCCGTGATTTGAGAGTACCTTAGTATCTTAAGATTTTTGAGAAAAAAATAAAATAAATATGTAAATTTCCCCTTTTTTTTTTTAGGAAAATTGAGGATTGATGAATAGTTTTATATTTATACATATATAATATTCTAGTAAATAAGAGTTTACTTCTTACTTATAAAACCTTCTAGTTTTTTATGAAGTCAAAGCGATACATTTAATTAACAGATATAAAAATAACAAAAAGTTTTTCTAAATGTGTCGATTAATGATCAACCAACCATGTTTTGTTTTTTCGATCTTTTCCACAAGGTTAATATGTTTTTATTTATTATATTAGAAGACTTTTGGTCTTTATTAGCCATTTTGAAATAATTTAAAATAAAATGCGTAACACACAACTGGTGCGCGCAACACACAACTTTCACTTACTCTTTGAACTTTGAATAAACATTATTTTCTTGCCATGTTAGGCTATTGTAATATGTTTTAAATTGCATTTTAAACTGAGCTAAAGCTAAAAAAACATAAATGCTATTAAAATAACAAAAGTCCTATTTATTATATCACCGGTTGATTATGGATTGTACGATTCGTTGATTATGGATTGTTCGATCCATTGATTATGGATTGTACGACTATAAGTCATTAAACTGTTATTTACCATTGCAAAGTTTATTAAAACGGAATTAAGAGATTTGCAGTGTCTGTCATTGACAGGTCAAAAGTTGTCACACTAATTGTAAGTGGATTCTGTTGGAATATCGCAAAAAAAAAAAAAAAATTATCAAACTATTCAGTAATTTAATTTTCTAAAAGGTTACATGATGATTTTTCGGAATAAACTGACGATAGATATCTAAATATTTAAATATATTATGAGATCTAGAGTTATTAAACTACAGTGAATATATTTAGGGTTATAAACGTATCTATGAAATATTTTTGTATTTCACTTCTTTTTTCACACAAGTACAATGAAATGGTAGTGGAATATCACAAAGAGAAGATCTATCGAATTATTCACTAATTTAGTTTTCTAAAAAGTTATATGAGAATATTTTGGAATTAACTTTAATACCTAATTATTTATAGAGAAATACTTTATTAAAAGTAATGCTGCCCTACTACATAGGGTTGCTTCGTACACAGCATACTTATTAATCCATACGGACATTAATTATATCTTATATTTTTCTTTTTTTTTTCTCAACCTTCATAACAATACTCTTACAAATTATCAACAATAAACCATATTAAACAATAGACATAGCATAATAAACAGTTTCCCAAAATAAAAAAAAAAAATCGTTTTTTCTCTTTAAATTCTCAAACGCCAGGAACGCAATATTACATCGCACACATATATAACACAGCAATTCCTTGAATGTAACCAAAAAGATAAGACGATTATGGACCAATTTAAAATTTAATAAATAATTACTAAACTACAGTAAATGTATTTAATATTATAAACACATGATTTATACATCCATGAAATGATTTTATATTTTATTTCTTCTTTCACACAAGTACACTGAAATAGTTTTTTTAACAATGCCATCAACTTTCTTAGGTGGATTTTAAATACATTTTAAAAAAATTAGCATTACCTTATTAACTCATTCAAAATTCAAAAACCGAAACAAAGGATATAACCATTGCAGCAGAACGTATTAAAAAAAAAAACTAGAGACCATATCTTATCTCCTAATTGTCCGATTTTAACGTATTTTTTTTTATTTTTTTTACGCAATTTAAATACCTTTGAAACATCTTATCACAACATTTCCAAAAAAGTGTATACTTTTTGAGTTATTCGGAATTTAATTTTACCATCCCTATTAACTTTTTTTCAGCTTCTTTTCGCTGATGAATGTTGTATAGATAAATTTGAAGGGTGTCGAGAAAATGACTTTAGCGAAGTTTCAATGAAATCGGTACATTCGTTTAGGCGCTACAGTCTATAGCTACGTTTTTCTGCATTTTTATTTTTTTTCTCCTTTATTAACTTATCAAATTCTTTCAAAAGTTATATTTAGCATTTTTTCGTAACTCATAATAATGCGAAATAATTATCTTTTTAAAATAAACCATATTAAAGGTACTTTAGAATAAGACGTATATGAACATTGGGCATTTAAGCCCTGTAAAGTGACATCAATGGGGATAAGACCTAATTTATATTAAAGACCACTTAATTATACAATGATAAATCGAGTTTAATCAAAATCATTAGAGCCGTTTTTGAGAAAACTGTGAAAATGTGTTTGAGCGTTGATATAAAGTAGCACTTCCGGTTAGCCGATTTTAAGGAAAAAGTTGCCGTCACAACTAAGGCATATACCTATCTTAAATACGTGATATCAGTTTCATAGGACTTTTCGTTTTTGAGCTAGACTGCTAACATACAGACACACAGACCATTTTTCGGGACTTGGTCATTTCGACTCAGCGTACTTCAAAACGTATAAAAACTCAGATTCAAAAAATTTCTCGATCGCAATACTTACACTTACTATATATTACATATATACGTTAGTGAAAGTAAATATTGGCAAAAAAATTTATATTTAAAACTTTACAGTGTACTAATCCTTAGTTGTGCTTATTATGACAATAATTTATATAGATGTTCTTATTAAAAATCTAGATGGTTTAAATTTTTCCAATTTTCATCACATTTTTTTCTGAAAATGATACAAAATAAATTAAAACTATATTTAGAAATTTTTTTTTTTTAATAATAATAATTTAATAAAAAAAAGACGGATTTGTATCGATTTATAAATATGTACATGGTGTGTAATACAGAAATAGAACTGGAATCAAATATCTGGATGGTTCATAAGAAGGCACCCATCTGTGACAGAAAACCCGAATATATTCTGCAACTGTGGACAGAGATTCGTTCCAATTATGGAAATCCTAGAAATTATGGATCTGGGAACAAAACAGGTTCACGGAGTGGTGGCTTAATTTAGATGAAAGCAGTGGGATGTTTTTAGTTTAACTTTTAGTAAATAATCCGAGTATCAGTTCATGAAAAAGAAATAATTATTTATGTGGTTCAGAACCTTGCAACGTAAATATTACTATATTATTAGTATTTTTACTAGTAAGGAAATCTTTACTAAGTAGTTAAGAACAATCCGGAACTCTTCTGTAAAGTGACGAAACTAAATAGCACTCGAATGTGGATAAAAGGAATAAGTTGAGGTAAATAATTTTACCTCAGATTATTAGAAATTATTAAAGGTGAATAAACAATGAGCAGAGGAAACGATAGAAGTGGCCTTCATTACTTCTTTTTCAACCCTTGCTGCATAAATGCAGGATAGGATCATATTGAATAAATAAATAAAATATTCAGAAAAGGTTGTTTGGTGAGAGATTAAGAATATACATGAAGCTTTTAAACTAATTGTATCAAATCGTTCTATCACCGCTTTGAAACAATTATTTCTAATTTTATTTTTCCACCCATCCAATAGCAATGAATCTAATTCAAATTAATATATATATATATATATACAATTTCATCCGTTAGAATTGATAGCTTAAAAATTAACCTTATTTGATATCAATGTACATATATTACTATAGTACATTATTTAGTTGGTATGAGAATTTCAATATTCTAGTCAGTAATCAAATGAACGTTTAATTCCAAACGTTTAAATATGACTGTTGCCCTGGGATGCAATGTTAAAACATCTGGCGTGAACCATATTATATCATTCAAATTATTCATTTCTAAATTTCAAAACCATTACTAAATTGTTTCTCTAATTAATTTTTTATCAGCTATAATGGCGGAAAGTAACGAAGAAAATACCACTGTAAAAACCGATTCTGAAGAAAGATCGCTAAGTGAGAACGAGGCACCAGAGGAGGCCAATGCCATCCACAAGGACTGGGCGAAGAAGTACTACCAGATGACCGTGGGTTCCATGTTTGGAGAAGAACTCGTGTCAATCCTAGTGGACCACATGAAGGCTGACGAGAACGATATGATAGACGTCGAAGGAATAATGGCACCTTTCAGCGTCGAACACTGGCCGAGGAAAATCCTGTCTGGAGTGGTTGACCTTCTGGAGAACTCAGGAACGTTACAGAGTGACTATAAGAAAATGTTATCCAAGGTCCTCAATATCAAGAAGGAAGAGGTAGAGCTGTTGTCTAGTGACAGTATCCAGAAGGCGGTAAAATTCATCAAAGATCAGTTAAAAACCAGACCGTCGGATGAAGACGTGTCTAGAAGCGATTTACAGATGGCTTTCGAAAGCAAGTGTCATCTCCTTGATGGCTGCGACATTGAGCCCGAAGACGAACAGGCTCAACTCGTCCCCGAAGAAGAAGCTGAGACAACTTCATAATAGCATGTATATAAATTGACACTTGACTGTTCAGGATATCAATTTCTTTAATAATTTATATGTACGTTCGCAAAACTATAAATAATGAAAACAACAAGTAGAGATTTTTTATTTTCCATAGTCACATATTCTTTAACACAAACTATGATTTTTGACCAACACTGTAATGTTTTCGTCATCATTTGTTTTATTGTTTTTTTTTATTTTACCACTTTTTTTTATAGCCATGGAGAAAAAATATTTTTATAATTATTAAGTCCAAGAACTATATTATTGAATTTCATTATATTTTTTTATCCTTAATTTCTTCATATTAATATTTGTAAATAAATGAAATTCTAAATCCACAAAAAATGTGCTCAGCAGTTTCTTTATCCTTCAGGAACAGTAATAAAGTAGAATTTTTCCTGTTTCCATTTTCATCAAATGAATTTTTGTGGAATGGGGCTTATTCGGGAATCACTAATTATCCTCAATCCATTCTTTTTAGTTTCATTTCAGTTCAGATTTTTTCTTTAACAAATTGATTAACCTCTTATCAAGGTCAAATTTCTCAAGCAAATAAGGTCATCTTTCTTCTTATAGTGTATTCGTCTTTTTTAATAATGGAATAAATAGTTTTTAAATCGTTTTGATCAGGTATTTATGATTTCAGGTAAGCTGTAAAATACATTTGCTAGACAACCTTTTTGTATCCAAATATGCAAGAAAAGTGTGTTAAGAAGGCTAAAACACCATGACTGGTTTTGGGAACGTTTTGATTAATCCCTTTGCATCTAAGCAAAGCATCCTACGAACATTCTCGAGTCTGATTTTCACAGCTTTTTGAGTTATTTCAGGTTAACAGTTGACTTATGTATTAGTTATCAGAGGCCGTGTAACTATTATAAATGGAGTTCTCTCATTTAACGAAATGTCACTGAAAGGTTACTTAAATTAGGATACCTTATGGAATTCAATGGCTACATAGTTCGAGAGCCCACCATAGGCATTGATTGCATCCAAAATATATGTCGTTCCAACTTGAATAGAACAATGTCTTTCGCCTTCCCATCCCGGACCCGACAGTTGTATCAGCATTACCATCGGTAGGATTTTACTCTTCACTGCTTAAGGAACTAACTCTAACGTCTTTAAGTCCTGTTGTAAAATGTTACAGGTCTTTCAGTCATCTTCTGAAGTTAAGTGAAAGTATACCTCTTCTCAGTTTCCTTTAAGCCACAGTGTCTAACAGATATAATATTTTGTGCATCTGGACATATGATTTCAAAGAAAATATTTATATTTTTAATTCAATTTTCTACTATTTAATTATAACTAACACTAGCCATGAACACCACCAAACATTGGTATACAGTTAATAAGTAGAAACGGTAAATTTCAAAAATTATTAACCGAGTTATATGTGAAAATGTACTCGAAACCGCAATCATTAACAATTTGGAATGTTATCCCATTTTAATACACACAAATATTCATTCACCTTAGCACCATTAAATCCATTTTTAATAATAGCGTAGTACAGTAACAGCAAACGACAGCGATTTCAGGATGTTGTGACATGTTCAGTTACAAATTAACGAAAAGGATGTCTATAATTAGAGAGAAATCTATTACTAGAACTCAAAATAAATTTTCATAACTTATTTTCTAAAAAAATGATTTTTTTGGGAACCCATAATCTTTCTTAATTCGTCACTAAATCATTTTAAAGAAAATATTCTTCTTTAGGTGAAAAAAATCTTAAGAAAAGTAAGGAAGAAAAGGAAAATTCATTTGCACATAACTCAAAATATATACAATTTATGATAGGCTAGATCGATGATAATCTAAAACATATCTAAATTACTTTAAAAAACGGGGGAATTTAATCCAGATTGTATTTTTAGCGAATGTTGGCCAAATCCGTACTAAATATCAAGTACCTACCCACAAAAAGGGAAGATCAATTGTGAGGTTTCTACTCACACCATCTTTCTAACGCTTGTGGTGAAAATTCTGATAGAATATTGTTTGCAGTATCGCTAATAATAGTCTACCAAGATTTTTTTTATATACATATGCACAAGAAAATGTAGTCAAAAGAATTTTTATAAAACTAATGATAATTTGTCATATCCAAATTTCCATGCGTAGAGAGATCTTTACGAGAAGTGAAGAGAAATTTACACTCCTCAACCCCAACTGAAGTGATAAAAGAAGAACTAACAACGCATGATTTCAAAGTACGTCAGGTAATCAACGTTCTGAAGGAGAATAAGGAGCAGCCGGGAATAAAAAATAAAGTTTCTTCACTTTTTTTTTCTCGTGGACCTAGAGCTATCACCTGGTATTGAAAAAATAAGACGAAACCAAGAGATTGTACTACACTATCGTGAAGATAGAGAAGCCATTCACCAAGAGGGAAATTGTGCAGTACCGCAATTGCCAGGGGTATAGCCACACGTGGCCACATGTGAAATGTGGTGAACAACACAAATTAGCAGAGAGTACCAAACCTATACAAGATCCTGCAGTTTGAGCCCAATGCCTAGAGGGACTCCCGGCCAACTACAAAGGCAGCCAAACTTATAAGAACCTCAAATCCAGAAATCAGAAGAACCCGATTCAAGAAGATACAACCAGACCAAGAAGAGAACTTTCTAGAATTGTTAATAATAATATATCGTACTCCGAAATACTTGGAAGTAAGAACCCAACTAATATATGTGGAGCCCTGCCGCAGAAACTACCTGAACCCATATTCCTCCTCCCTCAAATGCCATAGATCTCACCAGTTTGTTGTCATCATTTCTCATTGAATTTAAATCAATGGTTACCCCACACATATCACTCCTAACAAATTTCGTTTCTCACCTCATCTCTCCTGGAAAAATCCTTAAATGACTCATATCAAACACATATCTATTCTCCTTAGGAATGCGAATGGTGTTAGAAATCACGTTGACGAACTAACAGCTTTACTAATAGACAAGAACATTGATGTAGCCCTAATTACAGAAACTCGACTGACCAGAAAACAGCATTTAAAAATTCCATAGTACATAATATACCGTACTGACCATCCTTACGGTAGAGAACATGCCGGTACTGCTGTCATCGTACACGAATCTCTCTGTCGTCACTTACTTCCATTACCTACTCAAGATTTCCTACAATCAACCGCTATTGTAACAAAACCTTCTCCTTTCCGGTCACCCTTGCATCAGCATATTGCCTTCCTAACAGATCCTTATCCAAAGTCCAGTTCAGTTTTCTCATCAACTCCTTAGGTCATCATTTCATCCTGGGTCCAGACACTTAAATGACAAGCATCAATAATAGGATTGAAGAAACGCGAATTCTCGTGGTAGAACATGCATATATGATATAAATGTGTTCATGTATCACTATAATTATTATGCACTAGACAGATTGTTATATTTCTAAGTAAAAATAATATACTAATCATACATTTTATTATATCCGTTTAAATTTAGAAACCTAGTTTATCTTCTGACTTTTTCAAAGTTGATGTAGTTATTTTTTTGGAATCAGTATACTAAAGAAAAAAAGAAACAAAAATGTCCAGAACATGAAGTAAATGAAAAGTGTATTACTTGCTTTTGACATAAGAGTTGCTCGTTTTTCTCCGAAGACATTACCCTTGTGAGAATGTGTGTACCCTACCGTCCCTCAAATGCTCCAAGATTAGATTCGATTACTCTTGAGTCAGTAGCAGACTCGTCTACTTGTATCACTCAGTTCTCTGGATCATCTATCCCGTACAGTTGACTCATTGAAATAAAAAGCCTCATGTATTTTTGGTATTATTATATATCTAGCATCATTATTATCATAGATGGAATACAGATATTTGAATATCAGTGTTGTTCTACAATTTATTATTGAATTTTTTTTTTAGTTTAAATATGTATATATATTTTGCCCTTCAAAAATCGAACGCACTTATGGATCCACTCATATATATATATATATATATATATATATATATATATATATATATATATATATATATATATATATAAATAATAATAGTAATAAGGCTTAGCGAACCCGAAGGTTCGATGCCGACACCACCAATCGCTTGTTACACACCTCCCTCCACCGTTCGCCGTCCAAACCCAGTCCCTTCAGATCGGCTTTAATGCAATCCTCCCATCTTCGCTTCGGTCTACCCCTCGGACGCTTACCATTCGGCACAGCAAATATTAACCTTTTAGGAATTCTCTCGTTACTAAGCCCAACAACTTTACAAGCCCATTTGATTCGCCGCGATGAAATTACCTCAATTATATTACCCGGATACATCTCACGCAATTCGGCGTTGTGTAACCGTCTGAACTCTCCGGTTAACTCATCCTTTTTCGGTCCGAATATTCTACGCAATACTTTATTTTCAAAAACCTTAAGACGCTGCTCATCCCTTAATGTAAGCGGCCAAGTTTCGCATCCATAAAGAACTGTAGGTAAGATAATTGTTTTATAGATTCTAATTTTTAAGTTTCGGGACAAGAGGCGCGAACTAAGTAGTTTTGTCACAGAAAAATAACAAGCATTCCCCGCCTTCAGTCTAACCTTAATCTCTTCTTCAATTTCGTTTTTTCTAGTTATCGTAGAACCTAGATACCTAAATTTATCTACCTGTTCAAACATATTACCATCTATATCGATATCACCAGTAGTATCGCCATTTTTGCAGCTAACCATATATTTTGTTTTATCCACGTTTATTTCGAGTCCTAGTTCTTTCCCGGCTTTCATTAACGTTGTCGTATTTAGTTTTATAGTTTCAACGTCTTCGCTTAACAGTACCAGATCATCAGCATAGCCCAGCACGGATGTTGTCCCGCCCAGATCCAACCCTTTCTCGGTTCGCATTACCTCCCTAATGGCATGTTCTAATGCCAAATTGAACAGGACAGGCGAAAGAGAATCCCCCTGTTTTAAGCCCGAACGAACCTCAAATTTTTCGGACAAATTATTACCGATTCTAACTATATTGAGTGTCTCCGTCAAGCACATCCTAACTAGATTTACTAGTTTTTTTGGAATCCCCTGCTCGATTAGAAGATTATACAATTTCTGGCGGTCAATAGAATCGTAAGCCTTTTTAAAATCTATATACAGCTGGTGAACAATACCGTTATACTCCAATTTTTTCTCTAATATTTGCCGTAAAGAAAATATTTGATCAATAGTCGAACGATTCCGTCTAAATCCGCATTGGTAGT